TCTTTCTCACATTTTCTCTTTCTCTCACAGCACGAAGTTTGCGTGAATTACTGATATAAATATTATTATATGAATCAATTGTACATTATAAAACATATAAAAAAATTTTTCGATTTCTCTCTCTCTTTGTTTTTAATAAATAATCTCTTTAAAAAAAAAGTCATGTCACTTTAAAAATTAATGTTGGTAAAACACGAACATGTTAAAACTATGAAAAATTTCTAATAAAACTTTTCTTTTTTATGATATACATATCTTTTAGATAAGGATTTTTTAAGGAACATATGATTAAATACAGGAGCAATAAAATCATAAACATAAAAACTAAGGAAATGAACAAAACAATAAAACATTTATCTCTTCTGAAATAATATTATAAATATGGTACTCATTTTATTTATACTAATAAATATAGAATTAATATACTCTTAAATAATCTGAAAGATTAAAATTTTTCTCGTATCTATACATAATAAAGTTATCTGCATTATATTGAAGAGATTTATAGGTTTTAAATTATTCAAGTTTCATACTACAATATTTATATAGTGCGAAAAGAATAATTTTTACTATCAATAAAGTATATATTATATATATATATATTTCTACATTAAATAAAAATATATATACATGTATAAATATAAACAAATGTATAAAATTTGTTATTATAAGCAATGCTATTTAGTACTAAATAATTTTTAAATATTTTAATAAATTATTCTTATTTTTTATAGACATTTAAGAAGTATTATTGCCTTATGAAAGGAAATAATATACGTATAAAATATGAGGAAAATTTTAATAATTCTCTATTTTATGAAAATTTAATTAATTAAATTCAGTGTGAATAAGAATCGCTATTTTTATTCCTAAATAATTATTAAATAATTATAAAATCATTTTATAATCATTTAAGATTTTATAAAATCTATTCGAATTACGTTTTTTTACACTGGATTATTTGAAAATAATGCGTAGATTGCCAAAAATTTTTGCTTCGTTCACAATCATTAAAGGGACCAGGATTTAATTACATATTATAAAAAAAAATATGGTTGAATTTTACGCAATAGTTCAAGAAATTCAAGAAAATAAACTAAAGAAAGAAGTTTTGTTAAATAGGTCGACTTCTCTCTCTCTCTCTCTCTCTCTCTCTCTGTCTCTCTCTCTTTCTCTCTTGGATGTCGGCTAAAGGTTAAATTCCAATTATAGCTTGCGGATAAATAGGCGGCTATCGTTCGTATGAAACGATCTCTCAGTCGCCGACGAGACGATGAGTAGATACTCCGTAAGAAGATACAGCGACTGTCAATAAAACAAATTACAATCCGAATATTGGTAGATCTTTTCCGTGAATTATCGGTAAATAAATTTTTGTAATTCCAATTTTATTAGCAATATATACTTTCCTATTAAATTTATATATATTTCTTAATTTTTTTAATAAAACACCGCTTTCATATATGTACCGTTTTTATTTAAGAGCTTATATAAAAAAATGTAAAATATTAAAAGTTTGAAAAAAATTTTAATAATTTATTACTCTACAAAAGTTGTACATTTTACTAGGGAATTTTTTTTTAACTGTGAAATTAATTTATATTATATACATTATATTATATACATTATTAATAATTCCTATAAATTATTATTTATATTAATAATTTTAAATCTTAAAATATATAACAAAAACATTCTAAGTGATTTATATTTTATATTAAACAAAAAACTTAGTATCAATATAATAAATTGCAACAAAATATGCGATTTTACACGCAAACGTAAATATTCAAATTGGACATATTAACTACTGTTATTATGTTATTATTTTAAAATATCCTAAAATTATTATTCTAAAGCTAAAATGTCAGGTTTTTTTTCACTATTGTCGCTGAAAATTAAATCAAATCTTTGATTCTACTTCTACTTCTAAAATTCCGGCTACGAATCTTATTTGAGTAAAAAGAGTTAGGGCAAATCTATATATATACGTGAGTATAAAAATCGCAATAACCTTCTCAGATATAGATAACCGCACCGAAAGCGCCGCTTTTCGAATTAACAGTTAAGAAGCGCCTGAAGATGCAAATGTAATTCAATCCTGGAGCGCGCTAGGATTTGTATAAATTTCCTAATGAAATCCAAGCGTAAGATATCTCAAGAAGAATGACGTCGATGGGAAAAGGAGATAAAGAGAATTTCTATAATTGCGAAGGCAGTGTTAATCAGGTTCAATCACGATTGTTATACAATCTCTGCGCGGCAATTTCCTTGATTAAACATGCTGTAAAAACAGATATTGCAGTTGCTATTTTCAACTATGATTCGTCACTCAAAATATACAGACATTTTATATATTCTTAAGACAAGGTTTTATATATATAGCGACTTTTATATGCGCATGTTTGGCAAATTGTTTAAAGGTCAAATGCCGATCGTGACAGCCTGCTAATTACAGCTTGTGTCTTGTCCACCGCAGACTATATTTAACAACGTTGTCAATGACTGTTATTGATGTTCCTAAGCGTGTCCTGTGCAAACACGACAAATTCAAAATTGCGAGCACGTAAAGCAAAGTAATGATAACAGCAATAACATTTACATCATGATATAAAATCTAAATTATGTTTAATATTACTATTAATCTTTCAAAAAATATATCATATATATATATATATATATATACACACAATACTTTGACAACGGCTCATTTTTTAAATTTCTCATTAAAAAATATTTTCATAATTAATAATGAGAAATTTATAAGGAATAAGATATTGTTATTTATTTAAATGATAGTTCATCGAGATATCAATTGTTACATAATTCTGCAATGAGTTCATTAAGATTGCTTATTAAGACTTCCAATTTAACGCCTCTGTAGTTGAAAAGACTGTGCTGATGTAAATAATATAGAAAGGAAAGAAAATAGAATTCTCCATCTCAACACAGATCTCAAGGAATTATACGAATCCATTGCGCGAACGCGGTCGATTCAAGCGCCACTGAATAATTCATTTTAATCGTAGTCCCCAAATTTATCTCGCGCTTCTTGTAGCAGAAAATGTGATGGAACACGGAATATACATTAAGATCTCATTATAATCATTTTTCACTCACGTTATTACACGCTATTTACGCAAAGCTTATGATTATGTTAAAAAAAAACTGTGAATTTCATATGTTTATTATGAATCCAAATAATCTTTCAGTAATAAATATTTCTCTTATGATATGATATAAAATATTTTTTTTACAACGTAAATAGATGCGACGAAAAGCTTATAACATGAATGTATTCTTTTAATTAGAATTAAAATATAATATCTGAAATATAATTTTAATTTAATCGACCGACATCATTAAACATAACAATATTATACACACACACATACACACATATGTGTGTATTAAGAGTATAATTTTATTATATTTATTATTTTGTTATATCTTTTTAATTTTATTATATATTTGTTATTTTGTTATGAAAAAAAAAATATATATATATACACAAACAAAGTGATAAATATAATAAAATTCTTTATAAAAGAAGATCTATGCTTCAGCAATTAGTGTGAAAAAGTGATTAGCATTGTAAACAGTTTTTTAGGTTCCAAAATAAATGTATTGATTATCGCATAAGCGATAAATCTTGATGTAAAAATGCAGCTTTCAAGAGGTTAAATATACTGCGCAGGCATGCATTTTCGATCGGCCATAGTACAACGTGCTCGACCCACTTTAAGCTTTTGGTCACCCTTGGCCACTCTGCGGGCGTCCTTCTGTCTCCGGTGGCCAAGCAACAACTCGAGTGCGAATAAACTGCAGGTTGACACCCACACACCAGCATGGCGGGCATTCATGTACTTTCTCGAGTGCGGGTGGCGACACGCGCACATTTGTGAATGTATGTATAGCCGGTGCATTATATGCACGCTCTCGTTTTGTTTCCGCGATACCATTATGACTCCGTTTCCATTTGCGGCGCTGCTTCTGGGATACAAACTGGTCGAGCTGGTCGCTATTCGCCCTCGGGAATGAGTCTCGAGAAGGAGGAGTTGGTGTGCCAACGTTAAATGCGTTTACGTTCCAGGAAAGCCGCGAGTTTCCGCGGAGAAAAGTAGTTTTTGGTAGTTTATAATATGAATTATAGCTTCTTGGTACTCGCCATTAGACTCGCTAAACTCGTAATTTGCACATTGTCACAGTAAAAAGTATCAGTACTTTGCAGTAAAAAATAAAGACATTTTATGTAATGGAGAGAAACGTAGATTGTTTTTAATAAGAGCTTCCGACTATTAGAAAATTACATAAAGTATATAATTTAAAGGGAAAAAGAGCAAGAGAGAAAATAATGATATTTGCAAAAGAATTTCAAGAAAACGAGATTTCATCGTAGAATGCGAAGAAGTGCTACAAGAAATTCCAATTAGGAGATCGCATGATGAAAATTGCGGGTGGATGATAAACGATCGGGAAATCGCGTATATCAAGATGTAACAACGGAAGGTGACGCATTATAATTTGCATGAAGCTCGAAGCATCGACAACACGCGAGCAAAAGCGTGTCATGGAGCCGCGTGTGTTATGTATATGCGCGTTCGCTCTCGGTACCGTGACAATATCGTATTATTGGCCGATAAGAATGCAACGTTTTCATACGACTATTCGTGCCAGTGCGACAGTACGTTCCGCAGGGTTAAAATAGGTCTAAGCACGACGAAGGACGCTAATGCACGAGACAGACAACAAATGGGGACACGGAGGCCGTAGGAAATACAATATTATGATACTTCTCATTCTACCTGCCTCGGTATCCTTCGGAGTTTCATCCTTTGTTCGCTTCTACGTTCATGCGCCCCTCTCGTATCTCGTTGGAATAATCAAAATCTAGCTGCACGAAATTCGGTACCAAGCTACCGGCTAGTGTATTGTATGTAAAAACGATAGGAAATAGGATAGAGACAAGATCGATCGAAGTCCAGTAAACACACGAAACAAATTATCCATAAATCTATTTGTAATTTATGCTCGTTATAATGCTTGTTAATTCGAACTTTAAATGATTCTTTTACTTCCACGTGGGTGTGCGTGGGAGATCCGTATACAAATTGCCCAATTTCACATCGGCAATTCACACACGACCAACTGAATGCGATCGTAAATAAACTATCACAAGCTAAATTATAATAGTAAATAATGTAAACTGTTATTAAACATAGATTGTTGTACTTGTTAAAGTATAAAGTACCTTTCAATCACGTGTTTCTCAAAGCTTGCTTAACAATCAACAAAGAGAAAATCGTCTCGCCATTCGCTATTATTTCAATAAGTGTCCACTGAAATTAATAGAGTATGTGGCATAATTTTATTATTCACTTACTTAGATACGATTTAATGTCTAAAAGTGCTACAATTTTCTCAATAATGAATGTTTTCGTAATATCATAACACTAAAATGATCGTCATACTTTACAGTTGTCATTATTTCTAGCCAGATAATTATTTTTAATTTCGCAAGATTTTAAAATATGTAAGTAACATGTAAGTAATTCTATAAAATTAAAATGAATTGTTTAGCTAGAAACAATGGCATAGAACAATTAATAACACTAACCTGACAGAAATCGATATAACTACAATTAAGATCTCACACGCATGGTAATTAAAAAAGCGAGTATACATAAGCAAGAGACGTATTTATAATCTCTTTATCCTGCCGTTGGCGTACATAATCCTAGCTTTTGTTCGTGTCATGGTCGTGTGTTCCGCCACCTACGGTAATTAAGTATCTCTTAACTAAAATCCGTCATACGCTTGTAGTTGTTTCCTTTGCGTAAAGCCTTACAAAGGTGCTTTTTCGCGCGTTTTAAAAGGATACCAAGCTTTTCGTTATTCGATAATTGTTCCTCTTAAATTGCAATGATAAAAGCACAACCAACGTTGACATATAAGAGATAATGCATGCTAAAATAATACATGTATTAAGTTTAAGTGACATCGTTCGAATCGATACCAAGTAAAGCATTCGCTTATCAAATATTTGATAAAACCAATCGCATTTATGACGCATTTATGTATGCAACTAATTTAATCGTGTTATTATCGTGCATTAACAACATTGCATTTGTGATATGCGCCGTACATTAGAGAATTACAACGTTACTGTACTAATGTACATTACTCCATTTACAGAACGCCGACACTAGGCTCGTTTCAACAAATATTTGATATATTGAGACTGAAGCACATAGAACATTTCACACAAAAGTTGGCTTAATCATAATTATAATAATGTATTCTTGATGAATTCAAAAACTGAATTATTTCAGTTTTTGAAAACTTTGAAAAATTAAAAAGAAGATTTAATCAATGCATTTAAATATAATTTTTTTTTAAAATATTATGCAATAAATATTATTTAATATGAATATTATAAAAAATATACATGTTTTATTATATAATTTTGTTGAAAAATGTATGTAAATTAAAATTATATTATAAATATAATATATATAATTTTTAATATAAAATGTAAAAGAAATGTAAAGGAAACCTAACTTAAATAAATCTTACTTTTTATTTCATTTTTTTACCTCATAAATGCGCAGTCCTTGACTGGCGTGACGCTGAAATACGTACAATTATCTGCCAACATTTTACATTTTTATTCGTCGTTATATAAGAGTCATTAGCCTGAAAGTATACCAGATAAGATAAAGATAAAACAAAAATAATTAGACATTATTTATTTAGAGAGGTAAAAAAATTGTTGCAAATTGTTTCATTGCATTATACATACTGTTGCGCTCCAGCGTGTACTGCAAATCCAATATCTATAATGCATGTCCAGTATCATATTATTTCCCGATAAAATGATATATAGCAAAATGTTCAATCCTCGACTTTGGATTACCATAAATTCGAAATATTTTATTAATAACAAATACTGTTGAATATATTTTAATTACTTTAATGGCAAAACATTTACTTTCATTTATTCTTATACTCTTTATTACACGCTTCTGAAATCATATAATTCCAAATGTAAATTATAAATAAGAATCAGCACAAACATGCTACCTACATTAAATAATTAAATTATAAATATATCAAAAATGGAATAAAAAAGAAGATTTAATAATGTTATTACATTATTACATTAAAATCTATTATTACGAAGTAACCGGAGCTAGAGTTATAATTTGAGTGGCCTATAAAAGTCTTCTTAACGTTACCATATCTCCATATAATATAGTATTATAAATCTCTGCGGTTCTCTCTTCGTAGGACGACCGTTTCTCGACAAGGGAAAAACGTAGTGAAACTTCCTATCCCCCGTTTTCCTATCATGAATAATAACCCAATAGCATTAGAGGGTCTCGTGATATCGCCTATCCCGTCGGCAGGCAACATCGTGCTGTTGATTACTTAAAGCATTATCGGTCCCAGCCGGCTCATTGCGTCGTCGTTTGTGTTTACGAGAACGCTCCAGGGGGAAACCACAAACACCAAACGTGACCCCACTCGTCTTGCCCAAAGAGAGTCATAATCGACTCGCCACAGTAAGTTGATTCACGCCGAAAACCCTGAACGCTATTTTCGCCTACGTGCAGAGGCATAAGATTGGCAACGAGCGGGAACGAATCATCGATGATGGCGTACATAGAGCGACTGGCACGACGACGCTCGCGATGAAATTAGCGTACCGAGAGGCATGCGGAACATTACTGTCGCCGTCGTCGTTTCCATCGTCATCTTGGTCGCTGTGGTCATCTTCGTCATCATGCGTCCGCATAGAGAGCAAGACTCTCGGAACATCTATACAATGTTCAAAGGCACCTTAGATAGCTGCCTTGCGACAGCCATTAGCACCGACAGACGTGCTATTAGTGTTACGCGGTTTCGTTCGACGTGCTCCGCACGTAACTGACTGACCGCATGCAGCTTCCTGTTTTGCGAAAATTCTCCGAAGGTTCGTTATCGTTGCGGAAGCTTTCGTCGGTAATAACGTAACGTTGAGAGGTATTTTATACGTGAAATTGCTGTGCTCTTGATACGTATAAGCTGTTGAATAGAACGACAGTATATGCCTTTCTTCTTATTTTTGAATGAATTTCTTCTTATTATTGATAAAATAACTTTTAATTGATCCGATACATGGGAAAAATAATTTTACTGGAGTATTTAAAAATAACTAGATACAGATCTGCATTCTGAAAATAATTTCTTGGGCTATCAAAATTATCGAGGCAATAATCACTTAATGTAATCGTGAGACGGAGTCCCCAAAATCATAAAATTTATGAAATCCTTTGTATAATCCGATAATTGTATATACAACCACGAGAAATTATTGTGTAATATTAGATAAAATCGTTTATTTTACCAAATAACCTCGTATATAATGAAAATTATTTTTAATCAGATGAAATTATACAAAATCAAACAAAATGTAATCTATGGGACAATATTTTTAATTAGGTACCCTCTCGAAAAGATATTATATATTATATGCTTATTATATGCTCAAGCATGATGGGTAATGCAAAAATTTTGACATTCTAATAACCATCTTGAGCGTCCTACATAATACTTTGATCCAACAAAGTTATTTTCAGATCTTTATCTAATTAAATTATTACGTATTTCAGCAAAATTATTCTTTCCTTGTATGTGTACATATATAAAATCCAAGTTTATACCCATAAAAGACACATAAATGTGTAGAGAATACGGATTAATATTTAAAATTATCTGTAATTAAATATAAGTTAATTAACCACAGCCGTAACATTTGCTTTACTTTACGTGCGAGCTCTCGTTTTAGCATATTCTTCCACAATTGTTTTATCAATATTACAGCGTGTTGCTTTTATATAAAGTACTTGCCTCTGCATGCATCCTATAATAATCGTATGTGTGTTGAGGACTATACGTATAAATTAAATTTACCGTACTATATACATGATGCAGCGAGCTTTCAGCATGAACGTATTACATTCACACTGCATTAAATTTAATTTCGTTTCGTGTATATCATTAATCAATTTTATCCACTGAACTATTAAATTTATTTATAACCTAAAGAAAAACTTGAAGGAAACGTCGATTATCCATAAAATTTTAAACATATTTTTTATTGATTAAACCTTGTTTATCGATGTTTATAGATAGAATGAATAAATAAAGAAAAGAATATATGTCGTAATATTATGAAAATTAATTTATACACAAATTATATACAAACAATTTATTTACATACGCTTTACCTATAATTTTGCTTTTTATTCATTATCAAAGTTATTTATATAGTAATTTAGTAAATTTATGCAACATCGAACATAACATATTATTTATATGCCATATTGTACACGATAAGTTACAGTACACGCTGTATATGTAACGATACAAGCCGCCGAAACTTACATGCATCCTGGAACTCATTGCAAAAAGGATGTTGCAAAGTTTTTGCGATTGTACAATATTGGCTTATGGATATCGTAACGATCAATCGGAGGCAGCAGAGGAAAACGGACACACGAAGTTTCGCCCTTGCGAATTTCTGGTTATAAAAGAAAAAAAAAAGAAAAGAAAAAGCGAAACACACAAAGTGCACATAACGCAAGAATATGGGCTGCGCTTGCAGGCGACTAACGATGTATTAAATCATGGAGGCGAGTTCGATTTGATTTCGCATACTCCAATTTTATCTTTTTTTGCAACGCGGCGTACAGCTGTGAATGACATCCCGATGGGGATGGGAATGAGTGAAGAGATGAATGCAATCAGGCAGGATAGCTGAGCGGTAAATTAAAAGTGGGTTTATGTACGAGTATCGATTAAAACATTCCACGCTTGCACTTGCTGGAAGAGGACGGCTCGCCGAAAGTAATAATTTATCACGAAAAATTACTGGGTTTAAAATCCCAGTTAATATTCTCACGTATCTTTATATCTTATATTTGCATTTGACACGCGCGCCTTTTAAACAAAAATCAAATAAGTCTATGAGATTACACTTATTGATAAATTCAATTATTTCATTATTTTAAAAATACATAAAAAAAGGAACGTATGTATACAGAGTGTCTCACTAAAGGTGTTACAGATTGTAACTTATTAAATTTATGTTTTCCGTCATCTGTTTAATATCAAAGATAACTTCATACAATGACATTACTTAGTTTTTTCTAGGTGGAATAACTTCAAATATTTGAAGATCACCTTTGCTTTTTCAATTTAAACCGTATACTTTTTTTACATAATATGATTCCTCTAATTATTCTCTCTCTGCATATAAAAGTATTAAAATAAAATTATCAAAAAAATCAAAGTTTACGAGGTATTTTATATTTTATTCTGACACATTTTGGAATATAAAATATCACATAAATTATTAATTTTTTCATAATCGTATCTTAATACTTTTATATATTTAGTAATGAGATGAATCAATTGATGTAAAGAGAACACACAATTACTTTTTACAAATAGTAAAATAGTAAGTAGTTGCATTTTGCAAACAACAAATTATTTTGAAAAGCAACTATATGATTTCTTTACACCAATTATGTATGTAAAGATAAACTAATAATTCATTTGTATCAATCATTTCTCTCTCTCTCTCTCTCTCTCTCTCTCTCTCTCCTCTCCTCCCTCTCCCCTCTCTCTTTCTCTGTAAATGTATTTACAATATTGAAGCAAATGTTCGATGTTTGTGATTACGTTCAGCTTTAATTCCGATTAAAGCATTGCAACGTCAAACTCTTCATGACATGACAGAATTATAAAACAATAGCGCTCTTTCGCATTGCTCGTTTATTTTATTCAATCACGTAACCGATTACTATTCGGGCGACAAATGTGATGCAAAGTTTCGGCGCTAATCTCATTTTTACGACGCTGTGACCCTCCGTGACGATAGTTTAAATTGCGGAAAAGCGCATGAAAACCCAATTTCGCGAAGCGACGGATATCACGTACAACGGGGCTGTAACCCAGTTTCGACGGACGGAAATGCGTCTCGCTGTGCGCAACGCGACGTGAATGAACGTTGGTGCGTCACGATCTTCCCTGTTGCCTTAACATTCCCTCCTTCTATCTTCTGGTTCCTTTATCGCGTCATTTCTTTCTTTGGCCGATTGTTCCAAGTAGTCTAGCCTCTTCTCTCGACTCTTAAGTAATTTCAGTGGATACGTCAGTTTCAGCTGAAGAGTTGTAGAAATCTCATAAAAGAAAGAAACTAATTTGCTACT